GAGGTTGGGTGGAGTTAGCAGAGACCAACTGGGATGATGGGAAAGGCTGCTACATACAGGCTTCTGGGAAATTAGAGGTGTGGTCGAGGTGAGTTGTGGTTCACTGGTGGAGAGGAGAGGACAGGTGAGCCATGGTCCTGCTCCTGAATCTCAGTTAATCATACAAACTACATTTCACAAACAGTTTCCATAGTGCTGCACAAATACATAATAGTAATAATAACAATAATAAAATGATAAAATAAACGCTCAGATTTAATCATGTTAGTCTTAAAATAATAAAACCCGTCAAATAAAATAAGAGCAAAATCACAGAATAGCAATGAATAAATAAAGCCAATAAAAAACATAAAAAATAAATAAAAGACACAGAGGACCACACAACTCACAGGTGTTAAAAGCCAGAGAATAAAAGTGGGTTTTCAGACTTAAAACTCTCCATTGTTGGGGCTGTTCGGATGTGGGGGAGGGCCGCAAGCTTTTACTTTCGTTCATTTTTGGCAGCAGAAGAAACTCTAATGTCTAAAAACTCACTAAACCAGAGGTGTAGTTAAAGCGTGTTTTCTAAATGTAGACATTATTTAAGTTAGGAAATATGAAATACTTATCCAAAGGTGTCCAAAAGCACGTTTAAAAAGAATAAAAGACATATTTCGGGACTGTCCCAATATAAAACGTTTCTGGATTGATGTTAAAGATGTTCTACAAAATCTATTGGCTCTGGACCTGTTGATGGACCCAAAGATGTTTGTGCTTGATACATTTCCCGATGGTCTCTCTCGTGATCAGTGCTTTCTGCTGCATCTTCTTCTGATGACTGCAAGAAAAATGATCACGATCTACTGTCTGAAACCTGAAACACCGACCGTTGATCAGTGGACATCAAAAATCAGACAAGTTTATACAATGGACGGCCCAACTACAGCTCAAGGTGCCAATTTTTGAAAAGAGGTGAAGCCCAATTATTGACTTTTTCAAACATGCCTTATTTTTTATTTATTTATTTTTATTAATTTTTGCATTTTTTTCCCCCCCTTCTTCTTCTATAAAGGGGAGTAGGGGGAAAAAAAGGTAAATATATAAATTGTGTGAAGGCCCGGTCTCAGGACACTCTTGATGTGAATTGATTTGTGGCAATAAAAAAAAAAAAGAATAAGAAAAGAATAAAAGAAAGCCACAAGAATGCAGAGTTTGTAACCTTGCACAGATATAGTCCGGTTCCTTATATACTTTTGTGGGAATTTTTGGGGGGATTTGCTAAACTATATATTTTTGGAAAGGTTATTGTGTATGGAGTCAGAAAATCAATGTTTGCATTTGCCCAGATGCCTATATGGCGGCCATATTGAATTTAAAAAAAAAAAAGGCCACCAAAACACTCTTTTTGAAATATCTCAGCCTCTGAATAAGTTGAAATGTTGATTTTAACTGCTAAACCTACATTTTCAGGGTCAGGGAATCCAGTGGTGCTAGTTACAAAGCTATAAATGGTATATGGTAATGTGTAACTAGCACCATTGGATTCCTTGACTCTTACAATGTGGGTTTAGCAGTAAAAATCAACATTTCAGTTAATTCAGAAGTCAAGATACTCTAACTTTTTAAACTTCAATATGGCCGCCATATCGACATCTGGGCAAAGGCAAACACTGACTCCATATACTGTAACCTTTCCAAAAATATGTAGTTTACCAAATCCCCCCAAAATTCCCACTAAGGTTAAAATTTGAATATAAGGAACCCGACTAATAGATGGATTCTCACAATATTTGAGAGTTAACTGGGCGCACCAACCATGTTACAGCACTGAGGTTTGTGTAAAAGCCAAAGGTGAAACACTCAAGTGAACCAAAACAAACATGGCGACACCAGCAGGAGCACTTCAGTCTATTTTAGCGCCAATACAGACTTTAGTTTGAGAAAAACATGTAGAAGGTAAACGCTTTGTGCATTTGTGGACAGGGAAGATGTTTGTGCTTTACTCTCGCCGGGATGTAGCAGAAGTTTGATTTTTCATTTTGTTCTGATGTTGTGTCGCTTTGACCAGATTCAAATAGCCGTACAGTGAAAGCCGTTCTGATGATGTGTAGAATTCACTTCAGAGTTACACACATATCGATCTGGTGTGGGCCACGTTACGTAATGTGTGTTCTTTAAAGAAAGTTTCCCAACTACAACTAACTTAGTTCAAAAGATGTTCTTCTTTAATCTCCAAACTTGATTCTAAAAGTTTGTTCTCTCTTCTTAGTTCTGTGCTCTGTTTCTAATCTTTAAACCTGAAGTTGAACAGAGCATAAGTCAGGGTTGGTTAGTAAACTCCAAACTTAAATGGACTTGTGCTGCTGTTTCTCCTCATGGTATCACAGTTCCAGATCTGGTCCAGGATCAGCTCCAGGGTGGTCTCTCTCCAGACTGAGGGAGGAGTGGCTCTGAGCCCAGATTTTATCGATTTTTAGAAAAGATTCAATGTCCCCCTGGAGGAGCCCCAGTGCGGGAGGGAGGGGCACAGGCGACAGTTTGGACAATTTAGCCAAACTCAGCGGCGGACATCTTTATCACCACCTCTAACCAGCTTAATCCGGCCAGTAAAGTTGTAGAAGGTTATGGGAAAGTCAGAGCAAGTGGTGAAAAGTGGACGGTGCATGAAATGATGCCAGGTATTGTGGAGGTATACTGCATTGTCCCCATGGGGAAATCCGTCCTCTGCATTTGACCCGTCTTTCAGTGTCGCTGCTGGGGCAATGCGTCAGGACCCATCTGCAGATCTCGTCTTGGTCCGGACTACCTTAGCTGGAAGATTTTAACGTTTGTGCCTGTTTTGGGTCGATGGGGGAAACCAGAATGGCCAGACAAATCTCACACACACTGTTTACGCAGATACTGGGGGCGAGGGGGTTAAGTGTTTTGCCAAGGACACAACAACAGCATTCATCTGTGAGAGCTGGAATCACAACTCCAACTCTGAACTGACAACCTTCGGATCAGAGGACAAACACTCACTGTCTGCCCAGCTCCTGAGCTACTGAGAAACATACAAACTCTGCACAGAAATGGGACTGTGAGTAGAACCTGAAACCTTGCTGCTGTGAGGTGTAAGAACCATCATGCTGCCTTGGCTTTAATCTTAACCCTATTTTAAAGGGACAGTCTGGAATTTTGGACATCAGACCTCATTTCCTAGTTAGTCAGAGTGTTGGAGACGTGTGGAGACACTTTTAAAAATATTCCACCCAGTTCTTGTATTTGCAGAGGTCGCTGGTGCTAGGCTAGTGCATGTCAATGGCCATAGTTAGCCTGCCCCTAAAAACAGTGTTAGGGCCTGTCCACACGACAAATTTTTTGGTCAAAATGGTGAAGTTTGTATTAGTTTTGGCCGATGGTATTTTTTGAGAAAGGGTTTCAGAGTGGAGAAATCTGAGAACTCCGGCGCTGCGTTGTCGTGTGAATGAGCAAACCGCAGCTTTTGGAAAACGATGACGTCGCGACCCAGTCATCGCCAGGGCCCTCAAACTAGCCTCTGTGGACCTTAAGACTGTTGCCGAAATGGAACAGGTGTAGTCTATGGAGCCGCTCCCGTCACCAAGCAACTGAGACATGCTGCTAGTGCTAATGCTAACAACGCACACCACACACATTATGCACACGCATCAATTACAAAGATTATGCATGTGTTATCAAACTGTTGGATTTTGAGACCAAGTTATTCTAATAATTCTCATCCAAATCTTATGGCTAAAAATGAAAACTTATGTTTAACTTTTGCAAAACAAAACAGCTATATTCCTGAGATACATTTAAAGTCGGCTAAATTACTTTAAAGTAAAAAAAAAACAAAAAACTGTGATGAGATATGCATTATTAAATATTATTATCATTGTTAACAGCACCACATATAGGTGGTTTTCACTCAGTGTTCCGTTGTTGTCTGGACGTGAATATTTACTGATTAAACACGTGTGTGGACGCAAATTTTTTTTAACCCGCAAAAACAAAACAAACAAAAAAAAAATCCAGGAGCGCTGTTGTGTGGGCGTAGCCTTACTCACTCCACAAAGCACCTGAAGGCAAATCTATTATTACACCAGACTGTCAATGTAAATGTCTGTATCCATAGAATCATTTTAGAAGTAAAACCAACCTTGCATTTGAAGGGTTTATGTCTGAGCAGCAGCGAGTTGTACTTCCTGATAAAAAGCTTGGCAGTGGTGGACTGATATCTCCTAGCACCTATCTTACCAGCAAAGTAAAATTGCGCTGCTGCTGAGAAAATAGTCCCTCAACATGCAACGATTCAAGCGAAACAAGGTTAGTTTTATTTCAAACATTATTCTATCAACACAGACATTTACATCAACAGTCTGGTGTAATAACAGATTTTTTTTGGGCACTTTGTGGAGTGGGTAAGACTGTTTTTAATGGCATGATAACTATGGCCATTGACATGTACTAGCCTAGCACCAGTGACCTCTGCAAATACAAGGACTGGATGGAATATGTAAAAAAGTGTCTCCACATGTCTCCAACACTCTGGCTCACTAGGAAATTTGGTCCCATGTACAAAATCCTGGACTGTCCCTTTAAGACTTAACGTTAACCATTATTTTTCAAATAGGTGTTAAACTATGAGAGACACTTATGCTCCATGTGTCTTTTACTTTTATGATAAAAAAGAACACTATTATAATCAACTAATGCTTCTTTAAATCTTCAACTAAAATACTGATCAGTTTTCTGCTGATGGTTAGGATTATATAATTATGCAGGATTTATGCGGGAGTCAAACCTGTCACCTGCTCACTGCGAGGAGTGAATACTAACTCCCTGTGGCTCCTTTTGCATTCTGCTCGTACACTTTCTCTAAGTGGGACAGCGGCAGCAGGAGGCACAACATGACACGATGCCAGTTTTCAGATCTACATAATCTCTACATTCAAAATCCATCTTTAATCTGTTGGCAACATTACAATAAGGTGTTATTTTCACAGGAAGAAACATTTCATTTAGGATCAGCAAACCTTTAATAAATCCTCTTTGAGCACAAATAATCAGATATGTTCCACACATTTACATTCACAAATATTGAGTGTTTTTACAGACTTTATCTACAAAATATACAAGAGTTTAGAAACATGATCATGGTTTCATTTTGGTCTCTGACTAATTCATCAATGTCCAGGCCAATAAAAAACAACAACAACAACAACAAAAAACTTAGCTATTTTTATGTTTTTTCTTTTTGTGAACTTTCCCATGGTTTACCGTATATTTCTGACTATATGGTTTGTGTGGTCCTGCAATTTATACTCCGGTGCGACATATATTAAAATTTTCAGACTGACAGCCACGAGAGGCTCTACGCTTGTGTGTCAGTATCTGCTACTACTATTACTCTTGTACCACTGTCACTTCACTGGTTCTACTGCACATGTCTCCTGCAGAAAGAGCCACTGTCTTGCTGCACGGAGTGAAATATTCAGATGAAAACGGTAATCGAGCAGCAGAAAGAAAGTTTGGAGTGAGCGAGAAACTTGTGAGGGACTGGCGGAAAGCGGGAAAGGAGAACACAGCTTCATGGTAACTGGGAGGATGCGTTATGCAACTTTCCTGGAAGTCATTGGACAAAGCCTGAACTTCATTGACACCGAAACCATCCTGTCAGGATTCAGAAAGGCTGGAATAATTCTAAATGGAACTGATACTGAGTCTGACAACAGCTATGCAGAAGAGGAAGCGACGCAGAGTTTGGTAAACTTATGTTATGTTGTTTATGCTATAATTATCTGAAGAACTGTTAATATGTTACGTTAACATATTAACACCTATTCAGCCTGTTTTTCTCTGTTCTATTGTTACTATAACTTGCCTTTCAAGATGAAATATCAGTTCCTGGTCTCTGATTTTATGAAATACATTTCCCCAAAAAGTGCGACTAATAAATGTTTTTTCTTCTTCATTGTGCATTTTTTGGCTGGTGCGACTCCGGAGCGACTTATAGTCCGGAAAATACGGTATTTACATAACTTTTACAATATAGCTTCAGTTTTAATTTGAAGAGAGGTTTTGTGTGATACATTTGAGAGATTTTGATATGTTTTAATGTTAGAAATGTTGCTTCAAAAATACACAAAACATGTCCTTTTTTTATCATGAGCAATCTTTACTCTACTACTACTTGTAACCATTCTACATTGGCTGTAATAAAGAAGGAAATTGGCCAAGATGAGGAACTTGACTAGATATCGGTAGCTTAAAGCAGACCTATTAACCATGTTATAGCCGTTTCCCCTCCTCATTCACCCTTTATCACTGCCATCGGCACATGTTCACTGCTCTGTATTTACTTCAATTTCTGATTTTATATGTAGGATTCAGCAGAGTAATAATTTTGGTACGAATGAAAAACAATCTGGTGCTGACATCTCCATCAATTACTTTTACGGTGACGTCAGCTCCCGTTGGGCACCACAGTTTTCAAATGTGGAAGATAGCGGATTTATTTCTTTTATTAAGTCGTTTTAGATGAATATGGCGATTTAAAATGTGCAAATTATAAACATAAAGATGCACCGGTGTCATAGATTATAGCTACATAGCAGACACAAGCACAATAGGTCTGATTCAGATGCAAAACTAAACTCAAATGCAACGTTTCCATGATCTGCTTCATATTTGACAAGGGTAACTATGTTGACAAAGGATTCTGTAGTTTATAGGATGATCGAGTACATTTTCTGGTTCTTTTCAGCGAAGCCGAGAGTGGGACATCACAGCAAAGGATTATGGGACACTCTCAGCCACTGCAAGGTCACTTCTCCATTTTGGATTTGCCAAAGAGTCAGCACAGTGAGCAGTTCAAATGAATGGTATGAAATGATATGTAGTTTCCAGGTTCACAGATTTTCATTGTAGATTTACTGTTCAAAGGAGTCTCGTATTGACAAGAGTTCATTGGCCAAAAGATGTCCACTCACTTTGACGTGCCAGTCCAAAGATCGCCCCCTGGAGGAGAGACAAAAATGGTCAGTTGATCAAGAAAGTTAGGAAGAAGTCATCTATTCTTTTATTTTGAAAGGGTCTTGAGACATTTCGAGACGTTTCACTTATACGTGTGTGTGTGTGTGTGTGTGGACAGGGTTGTCAAAAGTGTTCAAAATCAGACACAAATCGATATATATCATTTATTAAAGAACTAAATTAGAACATTATATGATATCAAATATATTGAAATATCGTGATATCATATCGTCAAAGTTCACAATAATATTGTGGACCATCACAATATATCGAATTACAAGTCTCATTGCTTAAATTAAGAGTTATGGAGCAGCAATAGCTAAAAAATACAGAGGGAACTACATAGACCATGATCCTTTGCTCCATTTCAGTGCAGACTACAAGAAGAAATAACAGTTCTAAGCACTTTTAAGTCTTAGTTCTTTGGATTAAGTCTTGTCAAGGCATTTTAAGAAGAAAAAATAGCATATTAACAGTTATCATGGGATATTATTACTCCCCTAGTATCAAATCTATTCCTTAGTATCAACATTGAGTTTATAATTTTAGTATTGTGGACATTTCGAGACCTTTCACCTTCACAAGTGTCTTACCTGTATTCGGTGGTGCAGAAGTGGGTGAGCCTGGTCTTTTTGTCGCCTATGGGCTCGAGCAGATACATGCAGCAGTGGACATGGACTGTCTTTGGGACGTCTTGTTGGGGGATGGACACAGAAGACACATACAGGGGGCCAGAGGCGGGGTCAGACTGCCATAATCTGCAAGAAAAAGTTTTAAAAAGTTTGATTTGCAGAAAAGTTCTTTCACCCACCCTTCAACACTCCTGAGCTTGACAAGTAAAGTGTAGTGTCTTGCACAAGAACGCAAGGTCACTAATGGGAGCTTGGATCAAACTAGCGACCTTTAGGGTCAGTGAGAATACACCTTATCAACTGAGCTAACAGATTGTTCCATACTTTTCGATATCTTCTAGTGGAAAATGTTGTATTTAGTGCTGTGTAAAATGTCCGTACCTGAGCAGGCTGTAGACGGTGGGAGATATCGACCCCAGCTCGTGTCCCTGGCTCTGAATCTGGTACTGGTACAGGTCTGAGTCCGGACCAAGGGGACGGAGCCTGGAGTCCCGCTGTAGACGTGGGTCAAAGTGAGAGCGCTCAGAAAGTACCCTCCTCAAGACCACAGGGGGCGGCACGTCCAGCTCCAGACTGGCTCTCCACAAGGGCAGGGGGCTGAGGTCTGGGCACTACAAGGAGAGAGACGGTATGTAAGATTTATATACTGACTTCAGAGATTTTACTATTTAATGTCAGAATTTCAGATGGAGGGCAGGCTAGACTGTTCACTGTTTTTGAACAAAGAAGTAACGAACATGATAAAACTATTTTCAAGATCAGCTCCAAAAACTTGCAATATTAAAACTAATGACGTCCTTTAAGTCCTTTAATTGAACTGGCAAAAATCACGTCTTTTATATTCACTTTTAGTTCATATGTGCTTACAGAAAAGACATTTTGGTACCAGTTTCATGTGGGTAGGTTCAATAATAACTGTGATATTAACCATAAACTAGGTCAAAACATCTGCAATATTTAAAATGCAATTTCTACCATAAAATTCTTATTACACCTTTTTGAGATGTTTTATTTTCATGTAACTAATACTTATGGCTTTTTTATAAATTTCTGCATTTAAGACACTACATAATTTTTCCACCACCTGCTGGTGTCCATGGAGATGATCTCTATTCCCCATAACATATCTATTTCTGATTTGTGGAGAGGCGGGGAGTTTATGTTTTTTAATAAATAGAAGATAAATATATTTAATGCAGTTGCTAAACATTTCAGGTAAAGCAATATCCATGGAGACAAGCTAAAAAGTAAAGTTACTAAGTGCATCAGTGAGTGCGTTTACATGCACATCAGCCTTTACCTTCCTGTAGTCCAGCTGTAGTCCATCTGGAGTGGTGAAACTGGTCCAGACCTGGTCCTGGTCTTGGCTCAGTTTCAACAGAGACTCTGTGCTTCTCTGGAGCTTCAGACAGGACTCGCTTAGCTCCTCCCCCTCAGCACAGTCTCCATGGTAACCAGGTGATTCTGACCACACCCCTTCCTCAGAGTCTGAACCGGTGCAGGTGGAACCGGGCCAGAACACGGGCAGCTGGAGAGAAAAAGACAACGAAAGGAAATTACAAGGAAATTACAAACTGGCAGCAAGACTGGTTTTCTCCATATACGGAAGAGCTCTGGTCACCACTAAACTCAGCCAGGCCTTTATCATTTAGAAGAAAATCTAAACTTTCCACTAACATGTTTAGTGTTCCCCTCATTATTCTGCTCTGTTTTTCCGTCCTCTGTTATCTTTTCATTTTTTTCTTACAGACACATCTTGCATTTCTCTAATTGGTTAATCTGCCCTCTGGAAACTGGGGAGATTAGACCAAGGCCCAATCTACACTGGCCAGGAGCGCAAAAATGGTACATATGTAACTTTCCATGTTAAGGTTAAGTTAGGTTAGTTTATTTGCCATCTGTAGTTAAAAACACATTGGACAAACATCTGCAAAAAGCTCAAAGTGCACATTTAAAAAGACAAATTGATGAGGAAATGTGTGATGTGTGAAATTTGCAAATTTGACAAATCCCACCATATGTTTTCTTAGATGACTGTCAAAGCATTGGGACAACGGGTGGGCAGTGGATTTACCTGGAAGAGTGTGTGCGCCTCTGAGATCATGTGGGCCAGAGCCTGAGTCGCAGCCAGGTTCTCACTGAGGTCCTTCTGATCCGGACCCAGACTGCCCTTCCTCTGGCCTGGTCTGAAAAACACACAAAGGAAAAAAACATCAGAAAAGAAGGTGAAAAATGGCAATATTGTACTTTATTTATTAATTAGAAGTTTGGACAGATTTAGTTATTGCTCTTGCACCATTTGTATCAGACTTTACATCAAAACTACGCAGGGTTTGATGCTCTAAACGTAATTTTGTTGTTTCTTTATTGACAATGACAATAAAAATCTTTAATAATTTAAGTGTTCAGAATACAGTGCTCCAGTGTTATTGCAAGTATCCAGTATTTGATAACTAAACAAATTTTCACACACCAGTTTGAGAACAATGCCTCATTCATTCCACAAATACATGATTTTCGCATCACCTGTTTCGGTGATTGTCCCCGCGGCCCAGGCTGAGGTGGAACATTGAAGGGGCCAGACAGACGGCCATGTTGGTGTGGGTCATGTGGTTCTCCTCTGAACTGGACACGACGTCATGCAGGAAGTAGAGCAGCGTCCTCAGAGCCTCGCGTTGCTCGTCTGGCAGCAGCAAGATGGCCGACTGCACAGCATCCAACTGCACCTCTTTAGGGAAGTCTGTGTAGACAAACGTTCGTATTAGATAATAACTAATGTAAGAGGTGGGAGACATTTGTAACATGTATGTCATATCCTCTACAGTGCTATGGCCATGTGTCTGGATAAATTGCTGTTTAATGCCTTTTCTTTATTTATTAAGTTTACTTTTCTATAATTTAATGCACCTCAGTGAGTTTCAGATTCCTGTTATGCACCGATACTTTACAGCTGATAGCATCACACCCGCAGGGAATATTGATGCTCTGTCTGAGGCTCTGTCACTATATTTTAACACAATCTGACCAGAAAGAATTGACTTTGCTGGAAATACAACAGAGATGATGATTCGTGCTGTTAAAAAAAGTCCCTCTTATATAACACGGCAGTCCCAGGCTACCTAACCTTTTTTCAGTTAGTCACGTTGTCCTTTTTGTTGAACATCAAACGCCTAAAAGCAAACATTTAAAATTATGCTTTGAGATTGTAGTAAAAGTTAAAAGATGATGAAAGGAAATGATGATGGTGAAAATAATATTAGTTGAGCAAAGTGACTAAAGTGTTTATTAAAAAATGAAAAAAATAAATAAATAAAAACAAATAAATAAAAAAAGAGAGAAAAGGAAATTAAATTATAAATTGGCCAAAATATAAATATAAGGGGCCTAGTAGTATGGTTATGCAGCGCTACCACATTACTTTTGTTTTATTTAATTAAATTTGTGTGTGTGAGTTTTGTTGTTTTATATTTGTTGTTTTCTGTTTTGTTTTTATGTTTATTATTGTATTTTGTTAAATGTTATATTGTATTGTCTTTAATAAAAATAAATAAATAAATAAAAAAACAAAAACCCTAAACGCATGTATTGTGTCACCATGGAAACTGCTGAACATTCCACCATAGACATACACATACTTTATTTTACTGGTTTTATTATTTTAAGACTAGTATGATTATTTTAGTAGTTTATTTTGTTATTATTATGTATTTGTGCAGCACTTTGGAAACTGTTTGTGAAATGTGCTATAGAAATAAAGTGGACTGGATTGAGAACACCCTCAGTGTGATGTCAATGCAAAGTATCAGCACATTTCGAGGACTTTTTTAACAACTCACACACCATACTAGTGCGTTCTCATATCTACTGTTGTCCCATATAAATCCTAATATTGATTAATAGAGTTTTGGAAGAATAAGACACCACTGATCGTTGATAAATCGAGTAAACGACTAAAGTCCCGCACCCCCTGGTCCTTACACTGGTAAATGTGCAGAACGGTGTGGTTGAGCTTGGCGCTGAGGAGGGGTTCAGGCAGGTCTCGGAGGTACTGCTTAATCAGGTCGGCCACGTCAAACGCACAAACGCCAGAGAACGAGACCTGGTGCGGACCTGACTCCAGCTGGTCCCTTAGAGCCTGGATCCTGGACTTCAGCCCGGACTTACGGAACACCCCCATCTGAGAGACAAGAGACAACATCAGGTAGAATTATTATCAATTATTATGACTGTTACAATAGTTACAACATTGACTCTTTGTTCAATTATTTAGTTGGAGTTCAATATTTTACTGTACCTTTAAATAAGTATTTTTTGAAGTATGTTCTTATAGTTTCTAACATGTTTTTGTTAATTGCAGCTCAGGTTTAATTTAGATATAGTAACTCTGTGCTAATTTCAAAAAAAGGTTTGTTTACTGGAACAAAAAGGCATTAGGGAGTTTAAAAATATCAATATTTTTTGCATATTTATTTTCTAATGGACATCCAGTCAGAAGTATTTAATTGAGATTTTAAGATCTTAAGTTAATGGTACATTGCGTAACTTTTATAGAAGCTGATTGCAACCATGGAGTTATTACTGCTTTATAGGGACGTAACAACCAAAATATCATCAAAATCTCCCAATAATATGGACTGTCACAGTATATCGAATCACAAGTTTTTTTGCTTACATGCATGGTTTTACAGTAGCAACAGCTTATAAACATCGGAAACTACATATCCCATGATTCATTTCTCTGCAGACAACATGAAGAAATATGTTTTTTACTTGAATTCTTGGGATTATGATGGAAAAAATTCAAACCAAAATCTTGTCAAGGTATTTTTAAAAGCAAAAAAAAAAAAAAGAAGTCCCATCTACAATTATATCAGCCTCTTCAAAATATCGCAATAAACATCGTACTGTGAGATGCATATCGTGATAATATCGTTTTGTGCAAATATAAATGCTAGACTGTTTTGTTTAATGCCACACTGAGGAACATTCTAAGCAAAGCAACAGCATCACCATGGAGACAAGAAGCAGATAAAAGGAGAAGCCTATGACTGAGACTATACATATAAAGTTAGTAAGCAGTTTGAGGCCATGTCTTACTTACTTATTGTTAACTTTCATTACATTTCATTACATTATCAGATTGTTTTTGTTCATAATATTCATACCTGATCCACACACTCGTTTCTCAGATACACCATGGCCCGCAGGACACTAGGGGGCAGCGGTTCTCCAGTCTGCTGCATGTTTACCAGCAGAGGGACTCCAAACACCCTGCGACCTTTCACCTCTGACCCTTTGGACTTCCTCTGCGGTTTGGGCACCGTCCTGAAACACATACATAGAACATTTACTTTATTTGAAATCGACAAAAGAGTGCTCACTAAACATTAAAACTGCACCATAAGAGCCAGGATCTAGGTCACAACGGTTCATTTTAAAGGTCCTACATTACGCAAAATGGACTCTTGTGAGCTTTAAGCCATGTTATAATGTTGTTTCTTCCTCAAAAACAGACCTGGAGTTGTGTTTTCTTTCATTTACACATGTTGGAGTAACCCTTTATTTGTCTGTTTACATCTCCAAAGCTCAAAATGCTCTGTTCCCCCTTGTGATGTCATGAAGCAGAAGTTTTCAAGTTACCCCCTTAACACTGACTGTCACAAATATGCGAACAAACTGTTTGGATCAAGATATAAGCCCAGATAGCGGCTGCATTTCCGATACCGGTTAATGCATATGCAGAACTTTCCTAGGAACCTTTGGCAAGCACTTGTTTCTAGTTGTCGCAAATTTGCAACATACTCAAATTTCAAATTTTTTTTTTTGCTATAGTCAAATTAATAATCTCATCTTAATTTACCATCTACTTAAAGGCAAAAACACATCTATCACATCATCATTATATACATCTATATACATTCAGGTGAAAAGGGGTTAACAACTAACTTTTACTTTTAGTTCAGTAGAAATTGGTAATTACAGGGCTGAAATGATCCAAATGATTCTAGTAAAGGTGCATAGAGTTTGAAAACACAGTGGAGCACTTCCTGTGTTACCACATGATGTCACAAAATGGAACAATGTGCTTTCAATTTGACAAAAACTCAGAATAAATATGCAAGGTTTGTGCATAAAACAGGTGTGAATGCAACATAACACATCTCAGGGTATGTTTTTGATGAAGAAACACCATTATAACAGACCAAATTGCGTAATATGAGCCCTTTAAGGTGTTTTGATAAGTTCAGAGTCATAACTAACTAAATAAATTCATTATAATTTCAGTTTTTCCGATCTTGGTTAGATAAAAAAGGTGAAAAAGCTACATAGTACACATTCTAAACAACTGTAATCTCTTATTTCTGTATTTCATTTCCAAACATTACATGCATACTGACTTGCTATGTTATTAGTTTGTGGACATTTTACTATTGCGCGTCGCAGTTACACAAAAGCAGAGTAAACAGTCGGTGAAGAGGCCCTCATGTCCACAGCAGCACAGTAAATATTCACTCTTCATCCGCTCATTCATAATTCATTTTCCAGGTGCTCTGACGCTCAAAAAACCAAAACAAACTCCGACTGTGTGTGTTCCTCTGTTCAACCACCAAACACCGAAGCATTATGGGAGATCTGTGTTCACTCCGAGCACTGATGCATCATGGGGCCTCTCTGAGGACTGGTGCATTATGGGATTTTCTGCTTTCTATAAACAGCACTGCAGGAGCTGTCTTTGAGAACGGGCCAAAAGAAGTAGTAATAGACTGAATTTTGAGCAGCATATGCTGGGCCACTACAAATATGAATGTTTAATATTTATGGTATATTCTACAGCGTGTTTGAAAGGAAAGTGCAGGTTTTATTTATGTTTTTGTAACTTTGTCACAGTTTTTTGGGCTGCTTGTCTGTGTATGGGGGTCAGACACATATATTAAAGGTGCACTATGTAACTTTTCTGGTGTGGGATCTGACGCCTGCTTGTCTCCATGGTTATTGCTTTGTCTGAAATGTTCCTTAGTATAGAATTAAAGTTATCTATCTTGCATTTATCCAATTACTGGTGCTTTTAATTGCTAAAAAATACCTTGAATAACATGCAATCTTACTGTGAACACGCCATGTCCACAGATCTGACCTGTAACTTGGCCTCATGGAGTCACCTGCTCTTCTCCATGGAGAAAGATACATTTAATGTCATACTATGGAACATTCAAGGCAAAGCAATAAAATCTTTATGGAGAAAGTACGTGGCATAAAAGTTACAAACTACACTTTTATAGTGGAACTAAAAACTAAATCCAAAATGTTCATTAGTTTTTAAAACTTTTTAATAGCATTTTCTACTCTTCCTGGTCATTTTAGTGCAAATTTAGGTAAATTTGCAGCTTTCCCATCAAAAACAATTTAAGTGGTAGGTTTATGAAATATATTTAAAGATCTGTTTAGTATTTTGTGTTAGTTTTTTGGTTTACACAGAGGAGATTGTACACTGACCAGCTCCACCCCTGTCGGCTGGTGGGGGAGTACTTGTCCATGAGAGCTGTGAGGCGCAGCAGAGCCAGCTTCTGGAGCAGGGCCAGTCTGGACCAGGACAGACCCAGGACTCCCCCTGGGTCTGAACCACACTCAGGAGACCAGGAGCCGGGTCCATCCTCCCTGAAGAACACAGCACACAAGAGTCAGGAGAAGGCAAAGAGGGAGAAGTGATGGAGGCTGTGGTTGACTTACATTCACTCAAGTAAAACTGTTTATTGTTGTGGTTCAGATGACATTACAACATTCAAATGATGTTTTAAGGTCCTATATTACACAAAATTGATTCCTGTGAACTTTAAGACATGTTATAATGTTGTTATCTCCTCAAAAATATACTTGGAGTTGTGTTTTGTTTCATTCACATGTTTGAGTAATTGTTTACATTTTAGTCTGCCTACATCCCTAAAGCTCAAAAGTCTTTCTTCCACCTTGTGATGTCATGCAGCGGTAGTTTTCAAGTTAACAACTACCCTTTACCTTTTGTTTAGTATAGATAATCCAGGGCTGAAATCAAATAATTCCAATGAAAATAGAGCACTTCCTGTATCACCACATGACAACACAAGGAGTGTTTTCTGTTTGAGAGAAGAACTCAGCCTAAATGTGCTGGGTTTGTGTGTTAAATGAAATGAATGAAACAAAACACAACTCCAAGTATGTTTTTACAGAGGAAACAACATTATAACATAGATCAGAAATGGCACATTATTAAAAAGCATATTTTTGTTGAACTCTTGGTCTACTCAGTATTAGAAATGATCAGGTTCAGCATTTGTACATTTATCTTTTGGTTCCACTCAATTTCATTTCTCTCCAGCGACTAGGTCTGGAATCAAAATACACTAGACGGTTTGCAAGGACCCCGGAAGTTTTAGATCGTGCACCAGCCAATCAGTGAAGAGCTGTGAAGACATGACGTCAAACTCAAGTGCCTGTGTGGGTCCCTTCTGTGGTACAACACAACAGTAAACAAAGCGGTTGAGTTGAATGTAGACGAAGACATACATTCTGTGTTGGCAAAGATTCCCGAGATCGAGGATTTAAACCCGAAACAAAGAGATGTGTTTGGTGAATTTTATCAAGGGGAAAGACGTTATTGCTCTTCTTCCTATGCGATTTGGCGCATTACATTCGTCACGACCAAATAGCAGCGATTGAAGAAATAAAAAAGTACCCGTCTACCGTCGAGCGAACGAATCCTAATGCTGCGAGGTCAGATGGTTTCCATGAAGTGAAACCGTCTGATGAATCAGACTAAATATACAGTGTAATTAATAGGGAAAACTGGCATCCATACAGCTCTGACATTCACAGTACAATATTATTCAGAAGTGATGGTGCTTTTACTTGTGACAATTTTACCAACTGCATTTTACCCACTGATAATGGAATAGGCAATAAGCATAATTTACTACGGTAGAAATTAAAGTGTATATGAGGTTAGACCCATGACACTAAAATAGTTATGATTAGACTAATAAAAATATATCACAACACTTGTATTTTGTTAAATGAAAAATGTGTTCCTTGTGTGTAAATTGACCCTGGATTTTGAATGATGATTACAGGTAGATAGAGAGATAGAGGTTTTAGATCTCCTGTATTTTTGTACTTTTCTTAGCTTTTTTCCACAAAGTGTCACTTATCTGATGTTAAATTATGATACATATTTAACAAAAGTACAATCCCACCAAACCAAGTACAAATGGAAACCTGTCATATGTATTTAAATGTCCAATAATATGCAAAATTGACTCTTTTGAGCATTTTTAAGCAATGTTTGAATATTATTACCTCCTCAAAAACATACCTGGAATTGTGTTTTGTTTCATTAACTCATGTTTGAGTCATGTTTTCGGTTTTGAGAGGAGAACCTAAATATGCCAGGTTTGTGTGTTAAACATGCACAAATGATACAAATCACACCTCCAGGTATTTTTGATTTGTTTTTTGATGAGGAAATACTAATACACAGATCAGAAAATAACGTAATATGGACCCCTCTTCCTCACCTGTTCAGTCTCTCGTCCTGTTCTTCCCCAGGTCTCTGCTCCTCCTCTGGTTCCTGGTCCATGTGGTGCGTCAGGTCTGTAGACTCAGGGCTGTGGTCTGGGCTCGAGTCCTGGTTAGAATCCTCGTCCTGGTCTTCGGACAGGTCTTGGGTCCAGGACGAGACTTGCTGCTGGAGGTCAGTGATCCGCTCCAAAACCCGGTCCAGAGCTGAGAAGACCTCTTCAGAGCCCAGCCGCCCGAACATCTGAACAGGGGGTTATAGAGCAGGGATTGTAGATCATTAAGAAATATACCACTCAATAACTTCATTCACTTCATGCCAAAGAACCTTTTTGTATTAGATGAGCTACTGTGTCCAAGTTTCCGTTGTGTATCAATAAAGTGGGAGATATAGGATGACATTCATACCATATGCCATACAACTATACAACAACTCACCCTTAAGTAATAGATAACCTCCTGTCAAATCAGTCACTTTTTCATCTTTGCACAGTTTCTCTTTATGACCTTAGCCTCTTGTATACCGGTCAAATGTTTGAAAACACCCTCATTTTTCCAGTTATTTATTGCAGTTTAAGTCGTGCAAGTCCAATGAAGAACTTGAAATGGAACAAAGGTAAGTAATGAACAGACAAAGGTTTAAAAAATAGATTAAAAAAATACCAAAACATGAGTCCAAGTTGTGCCAAAACTACCTCAGGAAAAAAGAACAAGATGGGAATACTTGAAAACATGGAGTGTCTAGCACATTCTCCAGACTTAAACCTCACTGAGCTGGTTTGGGATGAACTGGACAGAAGAGTAAAAGCCAAACAACCTACAAGTGCCACACATTTACGGGAACTTCTGCAACAGAATTGGGAAGAACTTTTTGAAGAATATTTGATTTCTATTGTAAAAACAACGAGCCACGAGTGTGTTCAGCTGTTATATCTGCCAAAGGTGGACACTTTCATGAATCAAAAGTTTAGAATATGTTTTTGTCAACAGTAAACAATAAAAAAACTGGAAAAAGTGAGGTGTTCTAAAACTTTTGACCGGTAGTATATGTATTAATATATGTCTTTATTTTTTTTTATTTTTACTTGTACGTACAGATACATTGTACACATTACATTATAAACATAATTATGCCTTATTTTACACCAGTCTCTTGTTATTTTTGCAACTTATTTAGAATTTATTATTACTATTTATATTGTTGCTCTTTGTTATTATAATATATTGTGACGTGTGAGATACTGTGTCCAAATGATTTCCCTTTTGGTTCAATAACGTTTGTCTGAGTAAGTCCAACATTCACTCCTGGAATTAAAAAACAAAAACAAAACAAAACTAATAATTATCATTGGTTGTTGTTTTGTTGTGTATTATAGATATTGCTGGCCTCATAGGATAAGTGTGTAATTAATTTTGTAATATAATTAATTTAGCAAAACAATTTAACTGTTTAATTCTTTTATTTAATTCTGTCCTTGACCAATCAGAAAGATTTTTACAGCCATGAAACAAAATGTAGGTCCTTGGCTCTTGTAAACATTATGGCTGTTAGCTAAGAGTTATAAAATTACCACTAGAAGTTTTAATTATAAACTTCACCAAAAATGTTAAAAAGTCATCTTGAGTTTTTCTCGTCTCACCTCAGCATGTTCACTCTCGAGCACAGGATGCACGTTGTCATAAACACTGAGGCGCGGTTCAGAACTGATGACGTCACAGCTCGGAGCGTTCTTATTGGCCGACGATAAGGAAGAGCAGCCATGGCGACGCCCGCTGCCCCGTCTCCTCTGGTATCCGTGGAAACTGCCGGTCCTCCAGTTCACCGAGTCCTGGTCCAAGATCCGGTCCCGGAGACTGGGGAAGGTCCCGGTTTTGAGTCTCAGCGAGGTCTCAAAGTCCGGACCGGAGTGGCACAGGTTTATCTGGTTTAAATAATCCTGTAACATAAATACAAAATCAAGATCTGAAACAATCACGTAATGGGAAACTGGGCCAAAACCCTAAGCCCTTGGTGCCTTAGTATTGAATAAAGTTAAGCCCTTAAAATTTTGTGTAAATCATGTTAATACTTAAATGACTTTGGGGCATCTGTGTCTCCATGAGATGTTCTTACTTTGCCTGAAGTAACACAATATTTTTATTTATCTCCGTGGAGACAGGTGAGCAGATCTTTTGAGAGGTGAACCCGCTCACAGTAAGAATATGTAAGATGTTTTTCAAGATATTTTTTAGTAATTTGGAAACTCAGCCTTTTCATGTGTGGCCGTCCGTCAGTGGAACATGTTACCAACTGAGCTGATCATATGTACAAACTATGGCACATTTTCACGCCTGGCGAAACAGTGGCTCCTCTAAAACCAAACCTGCAGCCATAGTGTGGACTGATGAGTGTCTGATGAGTGAAGAGAGATGCTTTGGAGTGAATGAAATGAATGATGTTTTTGATAAGGATGATGTTTTTTAAGATGCTGAGAGAACTGGGAGTGAATGATGTTACAGAATTGTTATGATGCTCTGGAATTTATAAAGACATTCTCTTTCTATGTTTGCTTTTATGAACTATAACATCAACCGGACCAGGTGCTACAGGTGGAAATTAGCACTGGAGCTACAACGTGGTACAAAGCATCTCTCCTGTTAAGATTAATGTAGATTGTGCACTGTCCCTGTCTCATTAAATAAATAAACTAAACTTAAAAAAAATAAAAATCATGTAACTGAATAAGGGCAAAAAATGTTTAATGACCAGGGGTCTCCAACTTGTGGCTCGGGAGGTGTCAGTGGCTCTCTACCCCCTTACAAGTAGCTCACCAGTGGATTGCTGAATGCTGAATAACTCAAAATGTATTAATTACATGACTATTACCACTGTGCACTAATAAAGGGATAATGGTTTATGTTTTATAGGCTTCTAACTGTTCCCCATCTAAGGCTCTGGTATATTTGTTTTGTAAAATTAGCTCACTGAAGGAACAAGGCTGGAGACCCCTGTCCTATACTGTGCAACTTTTTTAAAAATAAAGTAATACATCTTCACGAGAGCAACTGGTAATGTGGTCTGTGAGTATGTTTAATCAAATTAAACAAAAAGTGCACATCAAAGTTCTTGAAGAGATGCAAATGCAAGGAACAGAAAAATAAAAGTGAAAAAATGCATAGCACACTCAGAAGGCCAATGTCCAAAAGCTTTTAAAAACATTTTTAAATAATGTCTCAGCAAAAAAGCCTTCGTCAGATAATTTTTCTTGTTTTAGTAGACCACAGTATACTGGCCATTGGTCTTTTATCATAAGCATTTTTTCACTTTTATGTGGGTATGTTAAGGCAAGAGGGCATTGTAGATATAAAAAGTACTATCCATGAGTTTCAGAATTATGAAGAAATATGAGCTTTGCCATAGAGATAAACAACTTAAAACTTAAGCATGAGGACTAAAAATGTTTATTCAAAAATGGGAGGAAAAGAAAAAGGAAGAAAGAGAGGCCAAAATATATCAATGTAAGGGGGTCTAGCGGTGTGTTTATGCTGCACTACCACATTACTTTTGTTTTATTTAACTAAATTTGCATCTGTGTGTGTGGTCGAGGGGAAATGGGGTGGGAGAGGGTATTAATATTGTATTTGTTGTGTGTGTTGCTTTATGTTTTTGTGTTTTGTTTTTATGTTGATTTTTGTATTGTTAAATGTTATATTCTGTTGTCTTGACTTAAAAAAAACAAACCAAAACAAAACAAAAAACTTAAAATCAATATATTTTACTTTTGATTGGGAAAAGGTCCTCAAAGTCAAGCTGAAACTCACACACCATTCTACATTATACCAGTGTTTACCTGCTGTTCGTTCTGGTTGCTTCTCGTCTCTGAGCAGTTCCCTTTTTTGGTGTTGCTGCGGACCCGGGTCACTGGGCTGGGCGTGCTCACAACACTGCTGCTCTCTGATTGGCTGTGGCTCCTGCTGCTGGTCTCCGATTGGCTGTGGCTCCTGCTGCTGGTCTCCGATTGGCTGTGGCTGCTGATCTCTGATTGGCTGCTGGTTTGAGGGGAGGAGGGGCAGGAAGACACCGGGCTGTTGGGACTCTGAGGACTGAAGAGTTAAAAATACGATCAGTCCTGTTGGCCGTGAATGTCTCTTATTGTTCCATTCAAACAAAAAGGCGAAAAGTCAGGTGTCAAGACAATCTTAAAACTGTCTGCGGGCATTGTGTCTCCATGGTAACTGATAAACATTCTGCCATACACATACTTGTATAACACCCACAGCTTGGGTCGCCACCATTTTAAAGCATTTAAAGGATATTAACAAAAGTTTCAAAGGTCATCTAATGTTGAATCAGAACAAATAATTTAGATTTTTGAATAAATATAAAATACACACATTCAGTCAGCATAAAATAGTGAAATAGAAAAAAGGTGACATCTCCATGGAAACAAACAAATGATGCCACAAGGACAAATTACAAGTCACATCAGTGAAAAGGCAATCCTGCTTAAATTTAGAATTTTTAGCATGTTTTTAAAGGTTTTTTACTCTTTTTTAAAAATCCCTGTAGGGAATTTTTTCTTCTACGTTTGACCCATCACTCAAAGCCACATTGGTTAAACCTGTGAGTGCAGTGAGATCAAATCTTTACTGTAGAATTGTACCTATTGTTCTTGTTCGGGAATGGGTTAAAGGTGATGTCTTAGCAGTAAAAAGCACACGTATTTAGACTTTGCAGCTGATGACTTTGCACTGCTCTATCTGAAGGTTGTTAGCCTTTAATCTGAGCTTTATTTAAACACAATGTGAAGAGAAAGAGCTGGTTTAATTGGAACTACAATACTGCCCTACAAAGGCAAAAGAACAGAGTGTTAAACTGAAAAAAAAAAGACTTTAAAGTTTCTGTTTTGTCCAAACAAAAGTAGAGGGAGGTAGCGCTCCCAAAATTTAAGAATGAGTTGCTATAATGAAGAAATATTTGTATGCGAAAAATATTGAGTTCAAAATTGACCTTTCTACCCAGTACACAGTTACTATCTTTTGCCCTTACATGACTCCTTATTTTTGGCTCATGATACAAAGAGTACAGTATCTGACAGATAAAAGTCAATTCTGAGCTCAGTATTTTTCATAATATGTATTCACATGATAAAGGAGGTCTCAAATACAAACAAAATGACATGAACTCATTTTTGTTCTGCCTTAGGTAATGACAGGTGAATTGATTTGTGATGTTAAACAAGTCCCTAACACATACAAATTACAGTCACAAGCTAGGTAGCATTAGCCAACAGTTTTTCAGCGAGTCACTCTCACCTTTTTGTTGAAAATCAAACTCTTAAACAGGCTTCTCAAAATTTGTTGTTTAAATCCATCTGGTATGTTTTCTTGAGTTTTCAGACAATCTAAAAACATTTTTGGCAATGATTGCTAATGTGTGCATTAGCGGTGTGCAAAAATATTGAAATTTCCAGATATCGTATCATTTAATGTGATGATGCAGTATCAATATTGGCGACGGCTGTATCAATACATCGCCAAGAGTATTTTTTGGTATATTTTACTAAATTATTTTGTTACAGCACTAAGAGTTTTGTTGCTTGTTTAGAGGAAGGAAACTCATTTATGCAACACATTTGACATTGTGTTTCATATGAACTTTGCTCAAGATGTGGTTTAACACAAACTTTTAGTATCACAACTATGATTTAGCCTTTATTTTAATACTGAACCATATCGAATTAATTTGAAATATATCATATCGAACCAAAAGTGCACTGTATTAAGATATGTATCGTATCATGGCCTATGTGTCGAGGTATGTATCATATCGGCAACTTCTTAATCAGGGCATTGTATCTCCATGGTTACAGCTGAACATTCCACCATAGAGATACATGTAGACCCCCCTCCCCCCACTGAATAATTACAAGATGGATAAGTTTAATGCTATACTGTAGACCTATAGAGGCAAAGGAGCAACATCTCCATGGAGACAAGGATGTAGCAGACACTACCAGAAAAGTGACTTAGTGCACCTTTAAACCCGTCTACCATAAACACTTGCCCCTCTTACCTGTGTGCGCATTGTAGCGTGTCGTCCTCCTCCACAGAACTCCCCAGGCTCCTGTTCCCTGCCCAACCTCCTATGGTCCGTCTCAGTTTGAGTTTATCGATCTTCCTCAACAAACTCGTGCCGTTTTTCCTCTGCGCTCTGTCCAAACTTCCGGAGGACCCAGGAGACCCGGGAGAGGGGCAGCTGCTGGAGCACGTGCCCGGGGATCGAGTCTTGTTCTTGGGAGAGACTCCAGGCGAGCCCCAGGTGTGAGTGGAGGTGTGGTCCAGGCCCTCGCTGTCTGAGCTGCAGGAGCTGTAACTCGCGTTGTGCAGAGGGGTAAAGGCGAAGGCTGCGTTAGAGTCTGTGGGTGAGTCGCTGCGATTCCACTTTTTGGACATCCGGTCGTAGCTCCAGTTTGGGCTCAGTGCACAGAAGTCCTCCTCCTCACTGTCAACGTCCTGAAAACAGAAATGGATCTGGAGTCACTTAATGCAAACAGGAAGCTTAAAATATACCTTCAGTAGAATCATATGGATAATTTCAGCCTGGAATTGCCAATCTCTACTGAACAAAAGGTAAAAGGAGCTGTTAACTTGAAAACTACTGCTTTAACAAAACAAAACACAACTCCAGGTTTGTTTTTGATGAGGTAACAGCATTATAACATGGCTTAAAATGTAGCACCTTTAAAGTCATTTTGAGGAAGATTCCAGATAAAGCAAACCATTGTCATTGAAACAATCAGGTGACAACCCTCCACCAGAAAAGTTACGTAGTGCAGCTTTAATATATATCTTTGTTCCATGTAATTTAGATTAGCATTATGAAACTGTAGTCAGGCACTTTTTGTTTTTTTTTCTAATGTTCTTTTTATTATTTCTGAAAGTGGCCAAATGTACACAAAATTCGCACTGAAAAAAGTCGCACTTTTTTCATGTTTTAGGTAGTCTTGCGACTTATACTCTGGTGCAACTTATATATTAAAATGTTCACACTGACAGTTGCGAGAGGGCGCTCTAGGCTTGTGTGTCAGTATCTGCTGCTCCTATTACTCCTGTACCACTGTCACTTCACTCTACTGTGCACGTCTCCTGTAGAAAGAGCCGCTCTCCTGTCTGGGATCATGTCAGTCAATCGCACCATTACTTCTGTACCAGTGACAATAAAAAAAAATAAAAAAAAAAAATAATAATAATAAAGACAATTGAGAAGACTGAATACCACAAACAGAAATTCATATTTTGCAGATTACAAGCTGCAATTAGTGAAATATGAAGCCAAAAAAGGTAATCAAGCAGCAGAATGAAAGTTTGGAGTGAGCAAGAAACTTGTGACAACCAGGAGGATGTGCCACGTAACTTTCCTGGAAGTCATTGGATGGATGGACGAAGCCTAGACTTCAGTAACACCGAAACCATCCTGTCGGGATTCAGAAAGGCTGAAATAATTCTAACTGGAACTGATGCTGAGTCTGATGACAGCTACACAGAAGAGGAAGCGGCGCTCCATTTACCTCCGGAGGTTGCAGAGTTGTTCAGAAGTGACACCAAGGATGAAGAATTGGATGGATTTAGTGATTTGGAGTGAGATGGAGAGTTTGGTAAACTTGTTCGGTTGTTTACATTATAGTTATCTAAATAACTCTTAATATGTTACGTTAACAACCTGTTGTAAATATGAATATTGTACATGTTTTCTTATATTCTCAGATTTTCATATGGCCATAATATAACTCTTATGCAAAGTATTTCATTTGATCTATAATTTAGTTAGGCAGTTTTCTTGCTCTCCTCGTGATCTCTCTAAACAATACCCATAAAACATTGGCATCAACAGCAGCAGTAATCCTCTATCTGATCATAATTTCACTGTACTCTTTAATGATAATGAGAAATAAAGCTCTTTGCCTTTACTTTAAATGGTCCCTCGGTGGAGCGGGGAAACTACTGTCCATAAACAATAGACTTATAATATCCACAGCCCCGGTCTCACAAACATGTTTCAGACCTGAATCATTTCCTCTGAAGCTCAAAAACAATGGACCCTCCACTGCTCCAGAACCCCCCTCCTCCCGCTGCTTCCTCTCAGATATTTATGTCTCCTCAAAACAAACTGCAATAATATCGAGGCAAAGACTGGACCACCACAAATAAGGGAATGAAAGCTAAAAGACTGTAAACTTACCTATGTTGCGCAAAATTCTTGTGAGCGTAAAGTCATGTTATAAAGTCGTTACCTCGTCAAAAACATGCCTGAATTTGTGTTTTGTTTCATTCACACAGGTCTGAGAAATCCTGCATTATTAGTCTGTGCACATCTCCAAAAGTCAAAATGCTATGTTGCACCTAGTTTAAAGGTTGTATGGAGGATTTGTTTGTTTGTTTCAAATTGTCAATGAAAGTTCAAAACAGAATCATAGAGAAGCAACAGCCTTGTAATTATGATGACCAAAAAAAGAAAAAAAAGAATGAAAATCCATCAACAGTGGACGTGGTGGGGGCAGATAAACATCAGCCAATAGATAACAAGGCTACCTCTTTATCTATTGGCCGTTAGGTTGTCAATCAAACTCCCTACATTTCTCGTGTCACTGACTTGCCGAGGCACTGGGATTGCGTGGTTTATGTTCGCCTCTCACGCACTGATGCCATTTACTCAACCAGCACAGTGGTTCTTGCTGTCTTTTTCAAACTGTAGCTCTCAGTTTGCAGAAAGTTTGTTTTAATGACAGACAAGAATTCACCACCAGTTCGCCGCAAAAGAAAGTCAGTTTTTGACGTCGCTGAAAGAAGAGAAGGGGAAAAGGAGCGAAGCACAACATTTAAAAAAGGACAGTCGCTGCATTTCTCTTTCCTTGGAAAATCTTCTATACAACCTTTAAGTTAACAACTACCTTTTACATTTTGTCCAGATTGACGATTTCAGGGGTGAAATTATCCAAATCAGAAAAAAGAGCCTAAATATATAGGGTCGGTGTGTTAAACATATGTTGAATGCAGCAAATATAAATTATAACATAGATCAAATATAAAATAATAAGGGCCCTTTAATTATTCTAAAAAATAACAACGGACACCTGTGAAATTAGATGCTTTGGCAGCAAAGTGTGGAGCTGGCATAATATCCTGAATGTGATTGCTAAACCAGGTGGGGCCTTGCTGTGTAAAGTTTGCGTGTTCTCTTTGTGTCTGGGTGGGTTTCCTCTGGGTACAGTCTGGTTCTCGACCTTTTTTGTCCCAACCCCCTGAGCTTTGTCCCCTAATCTGAGTCAGGTTAAGGTTAAGATATACTTTATTAATCTCTAGTGAAGGAAATATTGGAAGTACCTCATGATCAGAGATTTGTTGAACTCTTGAGTTTATCTTTTTACTTCTCCGGGTCGTTTTCAGGCAGCATACTTTTAATCCTACTTGATTAATATTTTACAGTGTATCAGTACTTTGCCCACCGACTAAGCCTATAAGTGAAAAAGCTGTGCTGCTAAATGACTTGAACATTAGTTTCTCTTGCCGCTCCTTAAGATTTCGCTTTTCTCATTTTTGCGATTCATCCTTTGAAGTGGCCAGATTTTGTGAAATAATGATACATATAATAAAAAAAGTCATCTTTTATGTTTGGAATTGCATCATAAGAGCCATTCGTTTCCTCTAAAACCAGTGTAATCTTCTTTTATGATCTTAGATCTCAGCGAGCAGCTCAATGAATGCAGCAGCAATGTTTAAATACAGCGCCCCCTGCTGTGTTCATACAGGACACTCACCCTTCTTTTGGCTCGGCGCAGCTCCAGTCTCAGCTCCGCACTTTTGTTTAATGTTTTTAATCTCCTGAAGCAGATAGAGGAAGACACAGAGAAATGTCACTTCAAACAGAAGAGATAATTTAAGTCAATACTGCAGGATAAAGACATAGACTGCATTTTTTTGGTATTTTGTATCAAACAATCACTACATATTTTACTTTGTGCTACTACACCAAATCAAATTATGCAAAATCAGCCTTTTCTTTTAATCTTTCAACAATGTTATAATATTCCTTCATTTTCTAAATTATTTGTACATATTTGAGTGATCTTGTGGTCTCAAACCCTCCTTCTGGTTAGGTATACAGTACAAGACCATGCTCTGCTCACACCAGGAAGCTCCTTGCACTGCTCTCCATGCTCGCACCACACAACCCTCCCAGCTCAACCCTGCCCTCACCAAACAGAGAGCGGCAGAGAGGGTCAAAAATGAAACTGAAACAAATAAATCTGTTTACCGTGATAAGTTGTTTTCGGCGAATATATAGCCTTTTCGTAGCATGTTGATCTAAATATGTTATGTGTTAGCAATTAACGTCCCACAGCAGTCACACATGTTGATCATTATGTTATTATTTGGACATTTTAAATCTCAGTATTGATGTAAAATGTCCACTGACTTCCACATTAGAAAACTGCAGTGCCCACAGGGAGCCGACGTCGGAACAAAGAGCCGTGTAGTTGTCTGCACCGTCTATGATTAGCTGCATACCACACTAGTGAGTAAATGGTGAGGGGAAACAACTATTGGCGGTTTTCAGATTCTAAAATGTGATGATGTACTTCCAGGTTGGAGGCAAGACACAGATTTCCCCATTTTGGTGTGAAATTGAAAACCTCTTTAAATCTTTGTGTGGTGTGGGAATCAAATAATTTGTGGATCAATAAAATTTGTCTAAGTCTAAATCTAAGCTTGGGAAAAGGGATATTTTATTTTATTACTTTGCTAATATATTGATAAAAGACATATACATTTTAAATTTTCTAATTTTATATGGAAAATATTGTATTCATTGTTGTAAGTGGAATAATACCAATCCTAATATGTTTCAATTCAAATGCAATATAAATTTTATTTTAAGTCATTAGAAAACCTTACAAATAAACAAGGTAAGAAGATGTTACCAATTTATAAAGAACTGAAATGATCAATCTGAATAATTTAACTACTACTGTATGTCTTTGTGTATTTTGTTTATATGTTTGGTTGTTTATATGTTTATAATAATTTGTAGGCATATACAATAAATTTGATGAAAAAAATAAATAAAATAAAATGTTGAATCTGTTCATTTCTATTACTGACTAGACTCAAATACTCACTGTATTTCAACAAAAATCTGGCTTCTAACAATATAACAGTAATATTATATATCTGTATGATTATACTATTTATCAGTATTAAATAATAATAGGTCTATAAAATGTTGTGATGTCGTCTGAAAGCCAGCAATAACAAGATCAAAAGATTTTGCATAAAAGGTTTGCTTTAATATTAGAGATTGTTTCCCTCATCAGTTCAAAAGCAGATCTTTACCTGCAGAGTGAGTCGAGTGCGTCTTTGTCCAGGAAACTGTGGTCCTGTTTGGCCCACTCCAGGTCTACCGGGAACTTTCCATCTGCAAAATAAACTCTTAGATTAAAGGTGCACTATGTAATTTTTAGTTTGGGGGTCCGTCACCTGGTTGTTTCTATGGATACGTCATTGGTCTGCCTGGAATGTTCCACAGCATGACATTAAAAGCTCTAAGTTACTTGTATTCAATTACAGGTGGTTTTATAGCTCAAAAATGCCTAGAAAAACAGGCATTCTAACTGTGAGCGGGGTTGTCTCTCCACAGATCTGACCTGTAATTTGGTCTGGTTTGGCCTTCATTACAATATAAAGGTTTAATGCCATACTGTGAAACATTCCAGACAAAGCAATAACATCTTCACGGAGAAAAGCATTTGACAGACCCTTCACCAGAGAAGTTCCACAGTGCACCTTTAATTAAAAAAATGAATAAACTTCAATAGATTTAGTAATAGTAATGGTTTTATTTACCTCTGAAAAGCTGGACGTACTGAGGAAACCCCGCTGCTCTCAGCCAATCACAGGCCTCTCTGGCTTCGATCTCTGAAAACAACATTTTCTCACGTTACTTCGGTTCAAGTGCACAAATATTTGCAGTCAATCAGAGGCGTGTTTGTTGAGTTTATTACATTTGCATTTAGGAGACAGCAAAATAAACACAAACAGAGAAATAAAGTGGGTCATTCAGGAACAGGGCTTCTGGGTTTTAACGGGAGGAGACTGAAGAGAGGAGAGGAACCGGGCCAGGCTGGACTGTCAGAATATGTTTACTTGTTTCTCATTTTTACGAGAAGATGATAAAAAGAAATGGTCAAGTCTTCATTTTGATTGCAGTGTTCACAATGTTAAATTATCTGAGTGAAAATTAAACAGGAAATTGTTTGAGTTCAATCAAATTCAATTCAGTGTATTTCTGTATATCCCAAATTTACAATCAGTTTACAGTGTTGTGATTGGTACCAGCAGAAAGTTTGCCTGAGATCCAAGATAAACATTTACAAAGTTTGAGTTCAGATGAGTGTGATTGACAGGTGAATTAGCCAATCAGGGACATGAGTGGTCTGTCTGTATCAAAACAAAAATCCCAGTTTATGAGGTAAAATGTTAAAGTTAAAAATATATATATGTGCATTTCTTCAGAATCAATGAGTGCAGCATTAAACTCTGAAGTGAGTGAAATGTCATTTTGTTCAGGTGACCAATGAGTTTCTTGGTTTCACATATGTCTCTAAAATAAACAAATCCGATTGGGAGGTTTGATCCTGGTTTGAGGCACAATGGAGGGACTGGTCACCGAAAAATACAGAGAGAAATAATTCGGGACAAATAAGTGAAACTAGCTTATTGTACGCAAAACCAAAACAGTATGCAAAAAGACAAGTGTGAGCTCCTGAATGTTTATAGTCCTGTTTTTAGATCCTGGTCTAACCAATGCAACGCTCTCTTCACCGCCTCAACAAAAGAGAGCCGTCCCACCTGCAGGATGTTCAAAACTCAGCCACAAGGCTCTTGACCTGCAGGGCCCACACACACACCTGTTCTAAAAGAGCTTCACTCACTCCCGGTTTTGTATCACGTCCACTTCTAAAATTCTTGTTTTGACCTTTCAGACCCTACATGGCCATGCTCCTGCGTGTACAGCAGACCTCATCAAACCTCACCGCTCGACTCAGCCTCAGGTCCACAGGGCAGAACCCGCTGATTGTCCCTTGAAAAATGTTTTAATGCTCCTTTAAAGCTGTGGGCCTTTATGTCTGGAATGAAATGCCTTTGTTCTTTGGACTCTGTGGATCCCTTTAAAAAAGCACCTGAAGTCTTACCTCTTTGAGCGAGCATTTTATTGATATATTGACTGTATGCACACTTTTGATGATTCTACTGCGAAGCCCTTTGTGAGAAAATGTCTGTGAAAAGTGCAATATAAATACATTCTTCTATCTCACTCACAGGTTAGGGTCCATAACACAGGACCTACTGCATTGAAATCATTGCAGCGATTCTAAAGGTTGGCCTCTGTATTGTATATTTAGACAGGAAACTCTTTTCTTTAGTTTTCTGTTTATTTTAGAGATTGAACTGTGGAGCAAGCACGTATCCCACAATCCTTTGCCCCTCCCAAGTCCGAGACCCACCGTCGCACTTCCTGTCTCTGAGGCCGGACCGTAAGTCTTATCTCAGAGAATCGGCCAATCAGAATAAGCCCTTACAGTCCCACAACGTAAAAGGTGCACTACGTAATTTTTTGGCTTGGGGTCACTGCTCTGTCTAGAATCTTCCACAGTATATTTTACATTTATTCAAATACAGGTGGTTTTATAGCTCAAAAATGTCTATAGAAACAGGCATTTTTACTGATCAGCGTTGGCTCTCCACAGATCTGACCTGTAACTTGGTCCGCTTTGGTCTCCATGAAGATAGAAACATTTAATACCATACTATGAAAAATTCCAGACAAAGCAATAACGCCTCCATGGAAAAAAAAAAAACATTTGACGGAAGCTGCACCAGAAAAGTTCCACAATGCATCTTTAAATATCTTTTCGATCTATATCATTGCTAAGTTTGTTTCTATGTTGCTGCTGTCAAACTTTGAATATCCTTCGGGATCAATAAAGTTATCTATCGATCTAAAGATATGATTGTCAAAACTACGTCAAGAGTTGGGGTTTAAAAGGAGAACAATGTAATGAAACTGTAACCTGTATAACTGCAAATGATGAAACTTGATTAAAATTTAACCACTTAAAAAAAAAAGTTTGACAGTTGTGGTGGAAAAACCTTTGGGCAGCCCTGATCTAGAAGAATGGGTTTCACAGACTGAGAAGCAGCAGTGAAGTCTTCAGGCCGTGTCTCACCTCTGAAAAGGCTTCGAGGTCTTTGCACTTCCATCTCCCCACATCAAAACTCGTTAGCCGCAGAATGATTAGCTCGTTAGCCTAATTAACCAATCAACATCTTAATGAAAGCCATCAGGAGCAGCATTGTCAATTCTCATCAGCCAGACACACACCGGAGGAGGCCACTTTAACACAAAGCCCCTATAAGGGCAGGTGCTGCTACAGACCTGGTTTAGACCTGGTTTAGACCTGGTTTAGACCTGGTTTAGACCAGGTTTAGACCAGGTTTAGACCAGGTTTAGACCAGGTTTAGACCAGGTTTAGACCCAGTATATACCCATTTAAGATCCATTTTAGACCCAATTTAGACAGAGTTTAGAACCGGTTTAGACATGGTTTAGACCTGGTTTAGTCCTGGTTAAGCCCTGGTTTAGTCCTGGTGTGTTCCTGGTTTAGACCTACTTTAGTCCTAGTTTAGACCTGGTTTCAACCTGGTTTAGTCTTGATAAAGTCCTGGTTAAGACCCAATTTAGACACTGTTTAGACCTGGTTTTGACCGGGTTTAATCCTAGATCTGGTTTAGTCCTAGTTTAGACCTGGTATAGTCCTGGTTAAGACCTGGTTTAGACTTTGTTTAGACCCAGTTTAGACACTGTTTAGTCATGGACCTGGTTTAGTCCTGGTTTAGACCTGGTTTAGTCTGGGTACCATGTTTCATTTGATATTATGTTTTGAATTTCATTCGCATCATTGTGTGTGAACTCCACAAACTATTATGATGCTTTGAGAGATGTAAAAGACAGACTCATAATAAAGCTTTACTCAAACATGTGAATGAAACAAAACACAACTCCAGGTCTATTTTGAGAAGGTAACAACATTATAACATGGCTCAAAGCTCTAATTTGTTTCAGACCTGACCTCTTTGATTATCAGATCATGCAAACTAAAAGTTTATACTCACTTTTTATCAACATCGTTTGCAGATTCTGAAGAAGTTCATCACAATTCCATTTAAAAAAAGATTTGTTTCAATAATCCATTAATGTTGCAGGGTGTAATCTCTCCGCGAGGTTGTGTTCAGATTGTGGGGGTTTTGTCATGTTTGTGTGAAGTTATTGTTTAGTTTCCGCTCTGTTCACCCCTCCTCTTCCTCCCATCTTCCTCTCCTCTGAGTATATAAGCCGAGGAAGGAGGAAAATAACTAAAGGAAGCACTTTGGCCACTCTTCTAGACTCTGGGAGAAGATAGAGGAACACATTTAGAGATCCTATACTACACAGATGCAGGCTCCTGGAAGCTTTGAGTCATTTCAGAATGCTGTTCTCCCCCCAAAAACCCACCTGCAGTTGTGTTTTGTTTCATTCACACAGGTTTGAGTTATCCTTTAATCTGTCTACATCTCCAAAGGACGAGATAACAGCATTATAACATGGCGTAAAGCTCATAAGAGGCAATTTTGTGTAATATTGGGACCATTAAATCTTCAAATAACAGAATAAAGGTCATTCATGTTTACTAGTCTAATCTTTACTACAGTACACGTTAAAAATTTTAACATGTTAACATTATGGTATTACAGAAAATTCCAGACTATTAACCGCTACTTTTTTCTCACACTTTGAACCCTGCGACTATTAAAACAATGCGGCAAATATATGGAGGGAAAGCGCGGCTGTCTTTGCAGTTTACACATGGATCTAGGGTTCACATGAAGTTGCGACACTAGCTGGCGATGTTGTCAGCGCACTCAAATAATTTATCCCTGTGTGATAAAATAAGTTATGATGCTAAATTAAAATTAGTGAGGGGGATACGTCTTACCCATATGCGTACATGACAAGAAGAAATGTCTCAGACTTTAGTAGCCGGACATCCGCTCATAACTCATTGATAGAACTAGTCCCACTCCAGAAACAGCCTGAAATCTGCTGAAATCCTATAAGACACTAACATGGTACAGACAGGACAGCAGCTCTTTCTGCAGGAGACATGCGCAGGAGAGACTGGGGGTGATGCGCTGAGGAAGATTCTAGTTTGATTGAGTTTTGAACAGTTATTTTGCGCTTCATGCACACACCCTCCTCATGGAAAATACACAAAGAAATGCAGATGATGCAGCTTTTAGGATAAAGACAACTGATGTGACTGTGGAAGAAGGAAACAGAGCTGCTGCACGTGAGCTCGGCATCACTGAGTTGATGGTGAAATGTTGGCGACTGCAGCGCGATGAACTGACTCAAAAGCTTTCAGAGGTGATAAAAGCAGACGGCCTGAACTTGAAGACATTCTTGAAGACGTGGACACCTGTGGCTTATATTCAGGCATGGTCTTTATATGTACAATTTTTTTTATTTTGTTCAAATTTAGTTGATGCGGTTTAAATTCAGGTGTGCTCAGTAGTCCAGATTTTACAGTACCTCTTTGTATGTCACTTCTGCTGCCCAAATAAATAAATCTAAACTGAAAAAGGAAAACTATGCAAGACTTTTTGTAAAATCTTAAAAATCTTCAATATAAATAACTATAAAGTTAAAACTATGTTAACCTTGTTGAAATGACTAGTCAAACCTGTATGTACTTTACATGTACATGTACTGGAAGCACTTGACTGACATGCTTTTAGTTCATGTGATCAGATCCTGAAGTACTAATCAGGAGAAAAAGTGGACAGTAATAGTAGATTATAATACAGACTAATGCAGG